ACCCATCACTACTGGGGTACTAAGGAAAAATGGAAAAGTGGAGCRTATACATAAGATAGTAATATCCATTTTATCAAAGGTTTCGAAGGATAATCCAGATCACTGGTACACAGTTCAACAATACATTAATAAATAAATAACAGGATGTGATATGAGACTTTCAGAAATATCGAGGTTAGACGAAATTATGGAAATGGAAGCTATTGGATCGTTCGAGATCGATCGCACAAAGCACGACATATAGCCAAAAAAACACTTCAGACTAAAATCATATAATAATATGAATGACCTTCTTCTTTTTCGTTTTTACTGACGTAAAGATTATTGCCAAGTTAACAACAGCGCACCAGTCGTTCCTTGTTTTTGCATCGTGACCCCAATTAGTAATTCCAAGCGACGCCAGGCCCTTCTCCGCCTGGTCTTTCCATCGGAGTGGAGGTCTTCCTATTCCTCTGCTTCCCCAGAGGGAAGTGCATCGAATACTTTTAGTGGAGTGGAGTGTTTTCGTCCATACGTACGACATGACCTAGCCAGCATAGCCGCTGTTCTTAATCCGCTCAATGTCGTAGTATATCTCATACAGCCCAATGTTCCATCGAATGGGATATCCACCGCGGCAATTCGCAAAGGACCAAACATCTTTCACAAAACCTTTCTCTCGGAAACTCGTAACGTCGACTCATCATATGATGTCATCGTCCATGCCTCTACACTATATAGCGTCCAATTCGCAAAGGACCAAACATCTCTCACAAAACCTTTCTCTCGAAAACTCGTAACGTCGACTCATCAGATGATGTCATCGTCCATGCCTCTACACCATATATCTGGACGGAATAATTAGTGACTTATTGATATTGGTTGTTGTTCGTCGAAAGAGAACTTTACTTCTCAGTTGCCTACTCAGTCCAAAGTAGCACCTACTGGCAAGAGTTGGTTTGCGTTGGATTTAGAGGCTGACATTGTTGTTGCTGTTAATGTTGGCTACATGAAAGACAAAATTATCTACAACTTCGAAGTTATGAAAGCGCACGTGCATGAACTCAGTTTGCAAGTACTATATACATATCACCCCCACCCTAAACAGGCCATATATATACAGGCTATATTAAGTTTTTCAGGAAGTTTGTAATACCCAGAAGGAAGGGTCAGAGACCCTATAAAGTATATACACATATAAATGATCAATATGTTGAGCTGAGTCGATTTAGCCATGTCCGTATGTCTGTCCGTCATTCAGTTTTTAAGATATCGTTTTGAAATTTTGCAAACGTCATTTGCTCTTCAAGAAGCTGCTCATTTGTCGGAACTGCCGATATTGGACCACTATAACATATAACTGCCCTACAAACTGAACGATCGGAATCAAGTTCTTGTATGGAAAACTGTCACATTTGACAATGTATCTTCACGAAATTTGGTATAGATTATTCTCTAAGGCAACAATGTAATCTCCGAAGAACTTGTTCAGATCAGCTTACTATAGCATATAGCTACCACACAAAATGAACGATAGGAATCAAATGCTTGCAGGGGAAACTTCCCCATTTGACGATATATCTTCACGAAATTTAGTATGAGTTATTGCTCATAGAAATAATGTAATGTCGGAAGATCAGATCGGCTCACTACAGCATATAGCTACCATACAAATCGAACTACCGGAATCAAGGGATAACTTTTGCATTTGACGTGGTATCTCCACTTAAGGTAATAATATAATCTCCTAAAAAATTGTTCATATCGGATTACTATAGCGTATACCTTCGATATAAACTGAATACATAGTTACTAAAAGAAATACATCTGTGAAGGATATATTAGCTTCGGTACAGCCGAAGTTAAGGTTTTTTCTTGTGTTTTTTTTTTAAACTATGTATGTATGAATTTACATATATACATATGTATGTGCTTGTGTAGATTATATGTAGCTTTTAATTATTTAAAAGTATTTGGTATAAAAACTTTACTCAGATTAAATCGACAGAATAGCAGTTATTTCCAAAGCTCCTAGTATTATATTACTATATTAGCAGTATGAACATCTTAGTTTCTTTTTTCAGTATTTGTTGTTTAAATGTATATCTAAACATATCATTTCATGAATATTTTTGCACAAAAAAATAAATTTTTAAGTATTTAAATTTACACTAAAATTCACAAAGAAGCAACACAATTGCGGATGCCTCAGAGTACATGTTAGCTCATGACTACAACGCAGAGGCTGCAAATTTTTTTCAATAATTGGTACAGAATTGCTTGACCTGCCTACAGAATTGGAGATAGACTCTAGAAATTATACAAACAATATGTTATGAAAACCGCGGACTAACCGATGCTAATTAGGAGTATCCGAGACAAATATGATGAATGTAGGTAATGAAATATATTTGGCATTACACTATTTTTATGTTAAATGTGAAACTTTAGTATATCTACCATAAAAAACTACAATACTTGAATTTAAAATATTTGTAAAATATATTATAAATTGATGTTCTGAATTGATCAATTTCATTTGATATTAATTAATTACATAAATTTTGAAAAAAGTGGTAACATTTTGAAAATAATGTGATAAAGAGTTGTTTTCGCACCGGAAACTTAATAAAATGGTATGTTTTTCTTCGAATTACCATTTGTAAGTAAAAACCCTTAACCTGAAATAATTTTAAACTAAACATATCAATAATTAGAAACGATTTGCTGTGCCCCGTTCAGGCCAATTTTAAATTTCATTCTATGCTTCAGGGTTTCTGTTAATTCGGCAACTCAAAATTTCTGTTGAGTAATTGATACACAATTTTCTGTTTCTATATTGCACTGAACAGTATATTTAAGATCGTAGATAGCTTTTTCACAGCAAGAATAGGTCGCTACATAGCTAAGTAAGGGGATTTAATAAATAAATAAATAAAAGACAAAAGGTACGACTGTAGGTTTTTATATGCATATGTACATATGTATGTATGTATGTACATATCTCTAGTGAACCTTCACAAAAGGTCTCCTTTTCTTAGTAACGCCAAGAAGGTTTAGTTCAGAAATATAAAAAGTCAGTAAGAAATAAATTGTTGATTATGTGGATGTACATTCATTTTTATTTATGTTCCCATGATAATGGTCGTAAATAAATCACAAGTTTCGGTTAAAATCAGATAGGAATGGCATCTCATGCGAGCAGTGAAATAGTAGTGGGTGTTAGAGCTTTACATATCTACAAAATACAAAATACCAAACAATTTTAACATCCATTTTTTCGTCTTTTTTTAATAAATAATTCCATTGTGAATCATTGTGGCTGAACACTATACAAGTCTTTCCACTCCCTTGTAGGTTTTACCGCTATTTATGACATATCCATTCTCGTTTTTCTTTACAGTGCTTCCCTCGGCCCACCAAAAGGTACACAGTCATGCTTGTTTTGCTTTTTACATGGAATAATAAATAAAAGAACAGGAAAATTACTTTTTGTTTGATAAAATTAAATATTTTTTAGTAAAAATAACACGGGTCAACACAGAATTTGACCATAACTTTAAAGAAGTAAATTTCCATGTCATAGGTAGTAATTAGACAAAAAAAAATATATGCTGTGAAAAGGTTTGCTTTTTTATTTATTAAACCGCATTCACGATATTTTTTAAAATATGTGGTTTAAATTTTTACCTGAAAATGATATCATTGAAAAAACATGTTTATTAAGTTTTACTATCAAAATAACTTACAAAAAGTAAAAAATAATTTAAAAGTGCACACTTCTACTTTTTCTTTTATGTTCATAGGTACTATCTCTTAGTAAACCCAAAATATAGTATTATTACAATAACTTTTACAAAAACCAGCTTTATACGAAAAAAAGGTATTTTCTTATCGTTTTTGTTCATAATTAATCAGAAAATCATAAAATAAACTTCAGGATAAAGAACGAAATTTTTTTGTAGAGTCGTGTAATCTATTGCAATCAGCTCACCGTTCACTACTATTCGATTGCTCGTTCATAAAAACAGATATACCAATATAATTGGCTCTAATAAAGTAACGGTAAGTGCTTCACACTTATTATTGTGTACAACAGAATAGTAACACTCCAGAGAATATATCATAAAAGAAAGCAAAATTTAAAGCAAAACTCTCCTTCCCAATAAGCACTACTATTTCAATGCTCCCAACTGTACGTTAAAAACGTAAAATGTTCGAACTATTCTCAACCTATTCTTGAACTATTTCTTTGCATTACACAACATCATTAGGGGTATTCTCTTGCTCTTGCAAAACCCATGCAAGGTCCATGAATTGCAGGTATTGCCTCTATCTGCACCGGCACAACAACAAACACACGCAGAAAATTATTTGCAATGGCTGTAAAATATGTCAGACCAAAACCCATGTTTATTTTCGTGCAATGACACGTAAAAAAATAATTGCAAACCTGTGTCAGCTGTCATTTTACTTAAATACATATTTTGACGTTAGTCAAAGATTTTATAATTTCTATTTAATTTATAAAGATTTGTTACAGTTTGTTTTGTTAAGAATGAATGCAGAAGGTGCGTCAATTCACAGTAGCCATATACAATAGTCATTTACAATAAATTGACCGAATTAGCCGTTCATATATCACTAGATTCTGCAATGGGTGCTCTCGTGCTCTTGTATATTTCGGTATAAGATTTTTGCAATATGCAATCTGCAACAGCAAGAGAATTTCAATATTTTGTCACTAAATCTATTTCCCGTTGGTAGAGTTTACCACTGAAATTGAAAAATATTTTACAGAAATCATTAAACATATATACCTCATATTCACATAATGTATTATGTATTAAACCCATATTTTGCAATAATTTATTTAATTAACTGTATTATCGTGTAACTGTCATTCATATAACTACAGTAAGCTTAGAATTATGTATAAAGTAAATTATTATATAATATAACTATGCATACAATGCGTATAAAAATAATTACAATTGTTACATAAGTAACTCGCTTTTCAGGAACCCTTTTGAAGTTGCAAATTTGCGGTAATGACTTTCAGCAATAATAAAAAAGGGAAAAATGAAAAAAATCATTATATTAATCAAATGTATTGTACGTGCTTACGAGGGATGGCCTTAGCATTAAAATATAGAAAGGTTTGTCAGCCGCTAACCTACTTTTCTGCTCATTCTCCATCACTATCTATAATAATGCAAAGTAAAACAACGGTATTGCGGATTTGGACAATCGGTATACTCTTTGCTGTCATTTGTCCATTCCATATAGTTCATTGCACCGATCCGAAATTTGATACATCAACAAGAATGCGACTTGTTTTAGTACCGGCGGATGCGCAAGTTGGAACTGTGATTTATCGAATACGTGCCACGGACGAAGAGTTTGACTATCCACTCACCTTTGAACTTATAGGCGATTCTGCATCAGCTACTGTTAAAATTGATTCGCTTCCATGCACCAAATACAATTCCGTTTGCCAAGCAAATGTTGTGTTACAGCGACGTTTAGAACCGGGGCGCTACTATGACTTCCAGGTATCTGTAAAAGACACAAAAGGAGGAATGGCTAGCCAACTGTGTTCTATTACTGCTACTAATTTCACAACACCACATGACCTCATATTTCCACACAAGCCGGGGATAATAATGATTCCAGAGGTAACCATTTAAATGAAAGAAAATAAATTCATTAAATAATTATAAAATATKTTTTCTTCCATCTGTATTTATACGGATAAAGGATGCAAAGCGTGGAACAGAATTGGATTACGTAATTGCTCGAAAAAATCCACTTTTTCAAAAACCAGTTTACCTTGAGTTATGGGTAAGTAGAAACTGATTTTAATATTAATTATTAACATGATCATTAATATCAAGGACTGAATAAATATTTTCCAATCTCGAAGGTAGCATTTTTGAAAATATTGCATCAGCCACCCTGTATGACATCCAACTGGGAGAAAATACATAGATGAGCCGTCATTAGAGTCAAATTTAAATGGTTTTACTTACCAAAAGGTAAAAAATTCTCGGCGTCCACTCCTGTCAAGCAAGCTCTCGATATCAATCTGTTGACAAGATGAATAATATGATGTTAATATGAAGCTTTAATTGATACCAAACATTAAAGAGAAAGTGAAGAAGATTTCATTTGAATTATACCGGGAAATTTCCGCGTTCGTTTTAAATCCATATTTATTGAAGTGCTGTACGATGCAAAATATCTATTGTGTAAACGAATAAATCAGAACATTATCCGACCCCGTAGAGCTGAACATGTCAGAGACATGGCTTCTCCAAAAATCAATCCAGACATTTGCACCAATTATTCTTGTGTTTTGGTAATAGTCGCACCGGTGCAAACGTTTGAATTCGATTGGCATATCTGTCGGGATCACTGGGACAATTATTACCATAATTTTCTTGACTGAAATTCTGGTTCTGTTTCAAAGTCGTAGTCGATCTTTGTTTGGAAAGAATGGATCCCATCATCAAACTCTTAATTTACGATTCCATAAAAGACATACTGACAAACATTACTTTTTTTTATACATATACTCGTATGGATAGATGGCATTGGCACCATCTGTTGAAAATTGATAGTACCAAATAAGAAACCTTCTATGGCTCATGTGCAAAGCAACTTTGCTAAAAATACGCATAGTTTACGATTCTATAAAGGCCATACAGACAAAATTTAACACTTGTTAAGAAAATGGAACATGACATGCTTTAATTAGAATCTCTGTTGATCGATGGGTAACATCAATAATGGCATTTTATGCCATTCTACAGATAGTATATGCTAGACCTCACGTGAGATCAATTACATATTTATAGGTTACTTATGTCTACGAGTATAAATATAGTAAACCGTTTGTGAAACAATAATGATATATTTTTAAGTACCAATTAGTAGCACTAAAATAATGAATAATATTTATTGTTTAAACTTTATACTTCACTTGCAGTTGAAGGTTAGATTTTTATTTTATACCAGAGACTTTTTTATAGTAATTAATTGTTAAGACTTATCTACTATATATAAATACATACATATCGTCACCTAAAATGCAATATAACGTATCATCACTTTTCATAAGTTTACAGGCGAATGAAAAACGTTATAAAGAAAGCACTCATATTGAAAGAAAACTTCGGTTTTTATAAAATGGCTATATATTTGTTATCAGACACTCATATTGAAACAAAATTTGAGTTTTGATTATAAAATGATTATATATTGGTTATTATTTCCGACACCATTTTCGAATTTTATTTTTTGATACTTGATGATACTTTGTTTTGCATTTAAGTTGACGATATTTAAATTCTACATTTAATTTCAGGGCTCTCAACTTTTTGCCATAAGACAAAAGATTGTTTCAGTTGAAACTACAGAAGGTACCGTGTTTTTGCTAGGACCACTTGACTTCGAAAAACAAGCTATGTACCATTTAACCATATTGGCTAATGTAAGTATATACATACATTTTTCAATATTTCTTTATTTATTGGATCTACTTAGTAAAGCCTAACAATAAGTATTCAAATCTTAAATATATTTAAAACTAAAGAAGCTCACGAAAGTGGTTGAGGTAAAACGTTGCTCTATAGTAGGGTGGTAGATCACTTCTTTTTAAACGTGTTTGATTGGAGGAATTTGCCAAGGCTAATCTGCTGTTCTTTATCTTCTTCTTTACCACAGGAATATTTATGAATGTTATCATTACGCATGTACCATGGTGCACYAGTGATTGTTCTAAGCTATGTTAAAATTGATTTTAGATTGGAAGCTTTGCATTATATCACAGTTGGTTGCTCAGGTCGTACACCGCATTTGAATGCCATACATCCAAATCGGTTTTATGATTGCATTGTATAAAATTACTTTGTTGCCTGGCTAAGTTTGGAATATTTGTTTAAAAGCCAATTTAAGTTAAAGATATTTTACTCGCTATATGTTTTCGCCACTTGAGTTTTCGATCTAGGTGTTACTTCATTCGCTTGGGGAACTTGAACATTGTTTATTTGAACTGTCCGACACGTTTCTGGTTTTATAGAGAATGTAACATCAATAATATTTGCATTTTTGCTCAATAATACTTATACGTCAGTTGACTAGCCATTCTTCGACAAAAGTTAACTGCTGCTCTAATACTCTTGATGCTCTGATGAGGCACTTGTTACGGCCATTAGTAGCTGTTGGAATGTCCGCTGTATATCTTATGTACAGAGTTGAGCCTAGCACGTTGCCCTGAGGTATACCAACCTTCATTACTCGTTCTTCTGATATGAAGTCTGCTACTTTAACTCTAAATTTTCTGTTTCTCATACTTATATTACTCCAAAGTTTTATGCAATTCGGAAGGTCAAATGTTTTTGTTTTTCCATAAAATGCCTTCATGGCAGACCTTATCGAACGCCTGAGCTATAGCTAGAAAAATAGCTGAACAGTACTCTCTGTGCTCAAATGCTTCCCGATTTCGTTCGTAATTCTACTTACGTCCTCTATAGTGCCATATTTAATACGAAAACCGAGTTGGTGCATTGGTTTTATGTCATTTTCGTGGAGGAAAGCAGTCATCCTTGATAGTAATACTTTTTGAAATATTTTAGAAAGACAGGGTAAGATACTTATTGGTATGTAAGAAAATGGATGTTAGGTGATTTGCAAAGCAATTTGACTTATTCACGTACAAATCGTCATTATGTACCGAATTAACATTCAACTGTCTTAGAGGCATGTCTAGCTCGCCTTTTCTCATTTACAAGTTTTTCTATTTTATTACTGTCGATCTTTCTAAAACCACCTGATTTATTGTTTATTCTTTAAATTGAATACTCTTATACTTTCATTATTGTGTCATCCGGTATTTACTTTCCAACCAATATTGATGCGGCTGCTGACATATTTTCTATATTTCAACCACCTCGTTTTATGTGATGTTAGAGAAACTTTTGGCTSAAATATCAGGGACTGATGGATGAGGGATAAGGCTCCTCAATGTCGCATATAAGGTTCTATCGAACGTATTTTGTGAAAGATTAAAGCTTACCGTCAACAAACTGATTGGATCTCAGTGGATTTAGACATGGTAAATCAACAACCGCACAGATATTCTCCATGCGCCAAATTTTGAAAAAGATCCGTGAAAGGAGAGTCGACACACACCACCTTTTCGATTTCAAAGCTGCTTTCAACAGCACGAGAAGGAGCTGCCTTTATGCCGCGGCGCCTGAATTTGGTATCCCCGCAAAACTAATACGGATGTGTAAACTGACGATGAGCAACACCAAAAGGTCCGTCAAGATCGGAAAGTACCTCTCCGAGCCGTTCGATACCAAACGATGTTTCAGACAAGGCGACTCCTTATCGTGCGACTTCTACAATCTGCTGCTGGAGAAAATAATTCGAGATGCAGGACTTAATCTTTTATAAGAGTGTACTGCTGCTGGCGCATGACGATGTTATTAATATCATCGGCCTCAATAAACGCGCCGTTAGTTCGGCTTTCTCCAGGTTGGACAAGGAAGCAAATCAAATGGGTCTGGCAGTGAACGAAATAACTAATGTCATCAAATAAATAGTCGTCGCACTCGCGACTTGGCTCTCACGTCACTGTTGGCAGTTATAACTTTGAAGTTGCAGATAATTTCGTCTATCTTGGAACCAAAATAAACACCACCAACAATATCAGCCTGTAAATCCCACGCAGGATAACTCTTGCCAACAGGTGCTACTTCTGACTGTGGAGCCAATTGAGAAGTAAAATCCTCTCTCGACGTACAAAAACCAAACTCTATAAGTCACTCATTATTCCCGTCCGGATATATGGTGCAGAGGCTAAGACGATGACAACAACTGATGAATCGACGTTGCGAGTATTTGATCTTTCACAGAATGTGTTCTCCACGGCGTATGCGATATACGCGACATTGACATAGTTCACCAAATTAAAAGACAGCGACTACGCTGGCTGGGTCATGTTTTCCGAATGGATGAAAACACTCCAGCTCTGAAAGTATCCGACGCAGTACCCGCTGAGGGAAGCAGAGGAAGAGAAAGACCTCCACTCCATTGGAAGGACCTGGCTTCGCTAAGAATATGAAATTGGCGCCACGTAGCGAAAAGAACAAACGACTGGCGCGTGTTGTAACTACATGTCTGTCTCAGGTATTATTGGCATGTAGGAGTCCGCTTCACGGACTTTTGGGCTTTCCAAAGTTAATTTTGCTTGTAGGAATTTGCACACACGTTCTTTACATACATTTCGGTGTTGGATTCTTCCTCACGTTCAAGCGCCTTTTTTATTTTACGTACAGCAGATTTCAATTGAAGCTGAGTGGAAGGGGAGCGATTCATGTCCTGCATGCCTTTTTTCATTTACAAGCTTTCTATTTCTCTATTAGTGATTTTTCTGGGACTATGTGGCTTTTAGATTTTGTTTGGTGTTGCTAAGACAGCTGCGCTGGTTATAATATCATTGACTTCTCTTATACTTTTATCAATATCTCTTCCTATTTTAGCCAATTTGTTTTATAAGAAGTTAGACACACTTTTGGATTAACGAATATGGGTTGTTCAAATAACTTTATTAGTACACGAGAACATATATCAGCTGTTATGTGCGATTTATCCATATTTTTAATTACAGCAAAGTCAATTAAATTGTTGTAATCCCCACCTGCTGGAAATCTTTGATCTAGTGTTCCAAAAAAGTCTTTAAATATGCTTTCTATAATTTTAAAAGGATCTGGGCAGTTTATAGCCGTAAGGTTTAAGTCACAACCAAGATTTTTTAGTGATATTGTTGTGGTGTAATATGAGRTTCTAGAGAATAGTGGTTTAAATGATTTCTAGTCAAATGATTTGTAACATAGAGCCTAATTCCCGGTATATTGAAATAATTTTTATCACATGCGTTTCTGATATGAGCATTACATCTATATTATTTTCAGACAGAAATTTGATAATCTCTAATTTATGGTTGTTAACAYCGTTAGCATTCAATAATCAGATATTTAGTAAGCTCATTTTTTATTTACTTTGAGCATTTGATTTTGTGATTTTATCAAATCTTGAATAATTTTTTGCATTGTAGACATAAATGTGTAAAATTTAGTTTCAGTACCTCCATTTGGAGGATTTTGCGGCAGTTGCATTTGTACAGTGTTGCTTTCACGACATTTGTATAGCTTCCTTACATATTATTATTGTTAGAAGTAATAGGATTTGGACTTTTGTCTGAGGTTGCTATAATTTCATTACGGGGTGTTTGTAACATTTCTTTGACCATTTCTTTTATATGATCCTTCAACAATTACACTACGATACAGCAAATATTTCAAATTATATATAGGATGGGTTTCATTTTTTTAAGTTGATTAGAATTCGGCAACAATTAAATTTTAAACATTGGCTGGGGTACTTTATTTCTATTAAATGTATTTATAACAGCTTTAATACCCAAAACGCATTCTTCCAATGCTTCATTAACTTGACTCTTGTCTACGCCGGACTCTATACCTTTAATTACAACAACTATACCCTTAGAGCTCTTCAGTTGATACGAATATAGTATCAAAAATTGTTCCTGTTTTCATTTGACAAAAAATTTAACTATTTCCATAAAAAAATTTTCAGTGTAGGACTGAATTTTTGTTTCATTTGATATTGCCTTTTTTCAAAGCCACTATATGAAAATTGTTCGTATCTGCAATTTCACTTAATTTCGCAACAAGAGTATTACCGCTATGATCGCAGTATTGGAGGTGGTTTGACATTAACGACTGTGTGTGTGGTACCCTTCGCATCGTCGTCTGAACTCTTGATAAGTAAGACAAATATGTTGCCATTTAAAACTTTCGTTTTCTTTTTGTTTGGTGTGCGGCCTTAACATTTTTTAGGACTAACCGCTGACTTTGAAGGACTTAATTTCCTTTTTTTATTGGTACTCGTACATTCTCACCTTGCGTTATGTTATTCTTCGTTGACTGCGTGCTTACTGGTGCTTGCTTAGTTGTTAGTATGGTCACGTTTGTTGCTGGCCGCTGCTGCTTTTGTTTTTTGTAAGCTCTGCGTATGGTGCTCCTCATTTATCATTATTTGTTTTATTTTTTTTTTTTTAAGTTTTTACGGAGCGCATCAAGGCACGTCCGTATGGATTGAAAGCTCGCAATTTCTTAATTAACAGTATTTATAAAACTAACAGTATTTCAAATACTTGTAATTTAAAAATTTTGAAGGAGATTTAAAGAATCCATGAGGAAATAAGAAATATATAAATTAAATGTTTGGCAAAGAATTAAGAATAAGAACATTATTATTATGGTTTTCTATGTATTATATTTTGAAACTAAATTCGGGCAAGTTACCGCCACGGCTAGCTCGAATAAATTCAACAATAACGCGCCAAATAATCTCTTCCAAGTCGGCTTATCTACGTAGACAATCGACTTTACATAACCAGCT